AGAGGGAGGGAGGGAGGGAGAGAGAGAGAGAGAATGTGGGTATGATCCACAGCCAAGCTTCCCTGAGCAGGTGGGAAGGCTGTGAGGCTCAGGTAAATCCCTATCCTTCCCTATTGCACCTGGTAGAGGGACACACACCCAGCCACCGAGCACAACCAGTAAACAGCACACTTCAGTGGGGGCAGAGATAAGGCATTGCACCCATGGGTATGAGAAAATCTCAGAGCTGCCAAAAGCTGTTCATTTCTGAGGTCCAGATTGTGGTATCCTGGCACTTGCCTAAGGAGCACAACTTGTAGCAGAGAAAGACCAAGGTCCTCCTGTGCCACGGGTTCTTTTATCTTCCCACAGAGCTGTGGCTCTTCCTCAGCAAACTAACTCAGACAGCAGGGCCATCTGCAGGACCAGAGCTGACACTCTTAAGCAATGACTACTGCTGACCCAAGGTTGTTGGTGCTGAGGAAAGCTGCTGAATCAGATTGGTAGAGCAGATGCTTAGTCAATGGCTGCCCACGATGTCCTCAGCATCCATCTCCTGCAGCCAGGCATTAGGATAAATTCACTGACCATATCTTCTGTTATGGCTTGTATCTAGATACACCCGCAAAGCCTCATGTGGTCATAGATGGGGCTTTCCAGAAGTGGCTGGATCTACAGTGCTGAAGCTAAGTTTAAGGGTGTGTGATTACTAAATTAGTCAACTGACTAGTTTGGCATAGTTTTGGGTGTGTATAATAAGAAGGCCCACCCTGGGTGTGGGTGGCACCAACCAAAGAGTGGGTAGCCTTGAAGGAACAAAAGGGACAGCACTTTTGCTTGCTGTTTTACTATCTTGTTACCTTCTGCCAGACATGAACTGTTTCTTCTCTGCCATGCCACCTTGCCTCGGAACCAGTAAACTATGAACTGAAAACTCTATCAACTGTGAGCTAAAACAAACCTTTCCTCCCTTAATTTGTGGATGTTGGGTATTTTGTCTCAGCAATGACAAAATTAGCTAAGACAGCTTTCACTCTGGAAATACATAATAAGGCAAAGGCTCTAGAAGAGGTATGTTCTTCAGGCCACTTGGCCTTTTGTTTTGTTTTGAGAAAGGGTCTTGCTAAGTAGTTCAGGCTGGCCTTGAACTCAGTGATCCTCCTGAGTCAGCCTCTTGAGTTCTAGGATTATAGGAATGTGCCACCATGCCCGGCCCTGCTTTTTAAAAATGTTATAATAAAGATTAAAAAATAAGGCAAGTTTTACTTACATAAACTTTATTATCTATTCTATATGCAGCTCAAGACAGTTCTCCACTCACCAAGAGCCAGGTGAGCCAAGCTGTCCAACCCACAGGCTACAGGCTAGAATATTTATTGTTCCCTGACCCAGCATGACAGTACTCACACGAAAATGTCATCCCGAGGCATGATGTGGCTTAAACCTTCATCCATTTGGAAAATTTTGTGGAATCGGTGATTATATACATCTGTGACCACCATCTGGGAATCAAAAGAAGATTAAAGGATGGCTCAGAGTGCCCTTTTTAAGCTGCTGACACTCCAGAGACAAATGGGAAAATGCCCTGCTGGATGCTGAATTCAGAGTCCACTCTGCAGCCAGCCCCAGGGCTCCAGGCCAAGGATCAGGGACTCTAGGATAGACCATGCTGGTAAACTCTGGCCCTGAATAACAGGAATGATGATCAATGGGTACTGACCAGAAACCAGTAATCATCCACAGGCCTTGGAGGACTGTGCAATGCCCATAGTCTGCCTACCACCTCTAGCACAGGATGCTGAAAGCACAGTCCTACTCCTGCCCCTCTGATATTGGTAGTGACCCCAATGCAAGACGTTTTTTTCTGGAGCTGCAAGGGACAGCCTCAGCTATAGGGTGCACAGTGAGGGAGTGCCAGGTGTGAGGTACCCAGACACTCATCAATAATCATATCTGTGCTAAGATTACCCTCAGAAAAGTCGCTAGAAGATTGAAAGCAAAACCCCAACAATCTAAATGCCACTGATCCCCCTGCCTTACGTTTTCTGCAGCAACACCAGACAACCTGGAGAGAGCTTCACAAAGGTCAGACACGGCCCCCATCAGTGGCACAGTCACACGGTACTGCAAGAGAGATGGTCAAGATGACAGGGGTGCTCCAAAGAGGAAGGAAATGACCAGGAAGAGCAGGCACCACAGGGGCCAGGGGGGTCCTTCTAAATCAGTTCAAAGAGAAAATGGGGCCCAGAGGAGCTAGCAGCAGTACAGAGAGTAAGTCTTTCATATTAGCACTGCCATAACACTAAGACAGCAGTGTGGGACCTGTGTTATCTCCTTCCCTCTCAAACACTGCTTTCTTTACTCTGGCAGTTCCTGAGGATCAAACTCCGGGCCTCATACATGCTAGGCACTCTGCCACTGAGCCACTCCATCAACCTGCACCATTTTATTCTTCACTTTTTGGAATAGTTCACTACTTCCTTTAAAGAATTATTAAAGTGACAGAAACCGCTAGCCGGGCAGGGTGGAACATGTTTGTAATTCCAGTACTCTGGTAGGCTGAAACAGGGTCAATTGTTCAAGCCCAGCCCAGACAACATAGTGACGTAGCAATAGCTAGTTTCAAAGTGAAAAATAAAAAAGGCCTGAGGACAGAGGTCCTGGGTTGAATCCTCACGACCTCTATAAAAAATAAAAATAGAATAAAATAAGGGCTGGGGATTTAGCTCAGTGGCAGTGTGCCTGCCTTGCAAGTGCAAGGTCATGAGTTGGATCCCTGGTACCAAAAAAAAAAAAAAAATTGCCATCTGGTTCTATATACCATTTTTCTTTAGAGATAAAGACATTAACATCAGAAGACTAAGTGATAAATCACACTGTGAGTTGTCAGCAAAACTGGACTATAAGATGGGCTAGTTGTGCCTCTTGCCCAACTCTTGTGGCCATGGTTGTAGCTGATTTAAGGATGAACCTAAGTACCTAGCTCTGGGTTCTCTAATGTGCAATTCATGGAGTACTCAATAAATCACCCAGGTTATTACAACTGCACAAATGAAGAATGGGTAAAAAAGAGGGAGGGTGGGCCGGGGTGGTTCTGGTGTCTGCCTCACAAGTGCAAAGGCCTCAGTTCAGTTCCTGGGGGAAGGGGAGGGGAGGGGAGGGGAGGGAAGGGGAGAGGAGAGGAGAGAGAATCCCCAAAGATGTTTCCAATGGCCTGAGTGACATGTGATTATACAAAGGTCTGATGGAGCCCAAAGACACAGCCTGAATGGACAGAGGCAGCTTGTCCCACCACAGTGGGGATACTTGCATTAAGGGGCACTGTGAGGGTGTGGATCTTGTTACCTGGGTAGGTCTGCAGTGAGGGTCAGCGGGAACCAGGAAGACCTCCATCATGCGATCCTTCTTCAAGGGCAGCGGGAGCGTTAGGTAGCAAAATGGGTCAAACGTGACAGAAACCTTAGAACACTCAGGGCAAACTAATGTTGATTTGAAGAGGCCATGGAAAGTATCCACTATCACAGAATCATTCCGCAACCGGTGATTCTCCCAAGCTTCCTTCGCTACCACCTGGATGAAAGAAGGAAAAATAGGACATGCTGCTCTTAGCATCCAGTATGATAGCACACATCAGCTCTAGCCCTGTCTTACTTTACAACGTGCCAAGAGAGGATGTTATGGGAAACAAGGATGGTGAGAGCATCCATGGTTTCCAGGCTTCAAGATTTAAAGTCTCTAGCCGGGTGTGGTGGCTAACCCCTGTAATCCCAGCACTTGGGAGGCTGAGGCAGGAGGATCACTGTGAGTTCAAGACCAGCCTGGGCTACATAGTGAGTTCCAGGTCAGTCTCAACTACATAGT